TTTGTGGCACTTGCTTTGAAAAGTATGACTTGGGCTCAACAAATTGAAGTTCCCACTTTTACAAGACTTATTTATGTATGTAACAAGCCCTGAGAACTGTTATCTTAATTCTGCAGACTGCTTGGGAAAAACAGTTTTGTCACAAACTACTCCCAATTCATCTCAATAGGCATTAGTTACAAAACCTAAAAGATAAACATAGTAGGATAGTTAAAATTTCAAACAATATCTGCAGCATAAGCTTTCAACCAAAGCAATTATTCTAACTGAATTAGTTTCTACATTTCTAAGATTATCCCTTAACGTAAGTTATATGATCCAGTCATGTCATCAATACTGAAAAACCCCTTCATTTCCTAATATGAATCCCAGAACATCAACGATCACCATTCAATCTAAAAACTGCAATACTGGAAAGTTAATAGCATGAAAGTGCCTTTTAAAAAAAAAAAATTATAAACTTAGTTTGTTCTTGTTGCAAAGTGCAGAGGCATCTGAATGATCACGGTACAAAGATGATGTTTAAATTTGAAACTAGTACAAGACTATGTAGACCCAGGTCAAGTAAAGAGGGAATGTACATATTCCCAGAGGGGCATGCCAGCACCTCCCAGCTTCTAATATATCTTCAAGTTATGCCACAGCTGTAAGCAATTTTTGCAGTTACTCCCAGCAAACAGCATACTACTAGACTACTTTGCTATCATCATGAAGCAGCACACTATAAACTGCCTCAAATCCCTTCCAAGGTCAATTAGAACAGATTTTATTAAGAGTAGGAGTTGGGCAGGTGGGGCAGCACTCCAGAAGTCTCCCCTGAACACAGCTCCATGTAAAGGCATTCAGGCTCCTAAAATGTTGCAGGTGCATTAGTGCACCTGAAAACAGGCTGGAAGTGTCACTTGAAATGCACTCAACGCAACAACAAAATGAAGACACTGCTGCAAATGAGTCCCCTTGCAACCTTACTAGAGTCTTAACAGCAGAGCTTCTGCTGGGAAGAGAAAGGCTAAGCAAGAGTAAAGCAACATGGTGGCACGAAGCAGCAATGTAACAAAGAGCTGTTACAGTACAAGGAACAAGATCTCAAGAAAAAAAGCAAAGCGTGGGAAATCAGTGTGCTGGATCGTGAATTTCAGAAATGCAAGCAATATCTTAGAGCTGTAAGGCAAGGTTTATTACACATAAATCATGGGCAAGCCAGGTCAGTTTAGAACCTGTTCAACTGCTAGGAAAAGGGAAACTTTGATTTAAAAAGGTAGTACTCACCCTACCTTGTCTTAGAAGAGTATATAGAAGCCAGAATGAGGAACAGTGATGGTAAAGAGATTAAAAAAGCTAACAGACACTGGAGTTGGTGATAACCATTTATTTGTCGATAGACTGGAAACAGGAAGGATTAGACACACTGAATGCATGACAAGAGACTGGTCCACATGCCAAAAGAGGTTTTGAAAAGTAATTTCTGACAGTTCCTGTCTTTCCAGTCAAGGTCTATCAGCTGGGAGATGGAGGGAGAAGGAATACCCCAAAGCTATAACAGTTTCGCAAGTCAGGAACCAGGAAAAGCAAAACCAAGGAGCATAGCATAAAGGTTAAGAGATTACATTAGACAAATTTGGCTTAGAAACACAGTATGTATTTAGCAGTGGAGACAAGAATTCTCCAACAAACAATGCAGACAAGGCAAAGTTGAATGTCTTTCCTAGAAAAGGGACAAAGTTTGAAACTGGGATTAATGTGGGGACATCAAGGACCATGCCAGGCAGGGGACTGGATCAGATGGTCCAAATTGTACTTTACAATTTCATTAATTTATCAGTAACAAGGAAAGAAGGTATTTATATCTTTTATTACAGTGGGCAAGGAAGGGATTAGAGAGAAGACAATAATTCCTTTTTAAATTAAAAGTCACATCTACTCTTAAGTTGACTCTGTTTTTGAGAATACAGAGGACTGATCCTCCAGCCTAAGTAAACTATTTCTCTCAGGGCAGTTGCTCTTTCACCTCTTATTCTAAACCAACTGCATTGCTCTCAAAGCCTATTTGCAGTTTCTTAACCATTTTTCCCACCTCAGGAAGTTGAGATTTATGGCTCTTAAAGCCTTCAATAGCTTTTTTGGGGGAAAAAAAAGTTTAGGAAGGCTTAAACACTTCCAATGCTATCACTGCCACCAAACTAGCTAATATTTTAAACAGTCCTAGAAGAAAAATCAGAGGCCTGCATCGAATGAAGCCAGAGCAGTAACCTGGTTAACCTCAGCAGGTAAATTCCCTTGCTGGGAGTCTGAAGGAGCAGACACACAGGACTGTTTTGAAATGTGCTGCTGGGGGCTAATGGAGATTCTCCTTCTCAAGTACCTTTGAAACCTGTCAGTAAGGGATCCTTCCCCATAGAAAAGATCCCAAACAACCTGACAGTGAACACTCACTGAATTTTTTCAGAGCTTTAACTCAACATTAAGTGATTAATCACCACCTTAGAAAGCCCCTTCATCAACAAAATTGAGACCCTGCAATGCTGATAACATTTTGCTCTAAGTTTGTAGTGCTTAAGCACACTACCTTAGCATTGATGTGTGGAAGATCCAAAGTGTAGCCAAGAAAAAATGTACCACATTAAGTATGTTTTTCCTTTTCCTTTTAATGTATGTAACACTGTAGAAAAGGCTTGTCACCAAACAGTATCAGATTCACTCTCACAGTATATGTTTGTTTTGCAAACCCAAATAACTTGGAGGTTATGAAGCGGATGCTGGCCTCAAAGTACCATGAGAATTTACACAAACACACTAGTTTTAGTTTTGTGTTTTGTTGTTGTTTTTCTTCAAGAATGCATGATGTTTACACCCAGAGGCATTTTGTTCTGTAAGTGTTCTCCTCTACTCAAATAATGGAGTGCTTCTTGTGAGTACTGCTTATTCTAACACGATAAAACCAAGGGACTGTCCACAGCTCATTTTGTCCCCATCATCCTTCCTATTCAGAGACGCCCATTTTCCAGCTCCTTCAAGGCATCCCAAAGGGCAGTCTTAAATCTTAGCACAAGGACTCTGCTTTATAGATAAATCACTAGTCATCTGGTTCCTGAAGCATTTAAAATTGTATTCAGGTTACTGTAAATTCCATAACACTGCAGCAAGACTGAAAACTGTCATTTAGAGAGCAAAGATCAAAACTCAGAGGAAGGCAAGGGGCCATGCTATGGACTGAATGGACTATGACCAGAATCCTCCAAGAAAAGTAGCCTGGTACTATTGATCAGGAGAATCTCCATAAGCCCACCTTATTCTTTGGCACAGGGAGTGGTTTCAAACTATTCCTTCTAGGAGATGTGAATTGGAAAATAAAAATGAGGGAAAAACCACCAAATTCCACTCAGGCCATCGTCTATTCTACCTCCTTTGACTACAGCATGGGTAGAAGAAATAGCTGGATAGTTTTGAGAACCTACAGAAGGAAAGAAAAATGAAAATTTAGCTAAATATTCACTGTGATGTCAATTCTCATACTTCAGTATGCATTAAGCACAAGTAAAAGCAAAAGAGAATGTTGTGTAATTACTAAAATTTGTTATCAAGTAACTAGTCACGAAAACTGGTGGTTTACAGGATCAAAGATCACAAGAAAAATTTTTACCTTTCATAAATTCATTCTGAAGTTCAGTATCCTTAGATCTAATGCGTTTCAAGATAAAACTAAGATGGCATTCTTGGGGGGGGGGGGGGACTCCATTCCTCTCCCCTGGCGTTTTTTGGGGGGGGGGGGGAATCCAATTCCTCTAGCCTGTTTGTACACTATTATACACCGAAACAGTCACAATTCAGAGAAAGGTCAAAAGTGATAAGAAACCAACTAAATCGACTAAATATACCATGTATAATTATGATTTGCAGAATTTACATGTATTTTTAAATCCTCTGTTGTTCTACAAACAAGCTTCCTCACAATCACCTTTAAGTAGGTGGTACACATTATGAAGTCTCTATTTTACATGAACCCGTATTTAATTTTAATCTGTCCCAGGTGAACTTTAAACATTCAGTATTTATAAAATTTATGGATTTGAGTGGCCAGTCTCTTTTCAAAAGCATCTCTGACAAGTTTGGCAAGCTTTGACATTTAAAAGTAAACAAAGGAACCCAACACATCAAATACCTACAAGTATCCATTTTGCTTCCCATATTTGCAATTCCACCTTCACCTCCTAAATCACATACACTTGCTGTCCTATTTTCTTATTTGGTCGCTAAGAATAAAAATACACTGCTTGGGCAGACTAGACTTCAAATTATGTCACAGTATATTTTCAGTATTGCTCTCCTGCCCTCTTTTTACCCGATCCTTATATAAACAGCCTCAGACTCCCAGAAGCAGCTCTGTCCTGATATACTGTAATCCTGCTTAACTGGACATGGTGGGTGCAGACAGCAGTCGTTTCCTAAGCTAGGAAAGTCTGAAAGGGTTACTAGGTAAACTACAGCTTTCTCCTAAAGTGCATAAACATGTCAGGAATAATCTAATAATTATTTCCTTAGTACTATTGTGAATAGTATTCATAATTGTATCTGTAAACTATTATACTCTGCTAAAAAGAAGTTAAAAAACCTGACATAATCAGACAAAATTCAGTTTCTTTACAGATACAGTATGCCTAATCCCATCCCACTCACCCCTAAAGAATTAAAGCATGCGACTCAAATGTAAATTTAGGAAGGTAAAGTATGAAAATTATATTTAAACAACTAAGCAAGGAAAGGAGTTTGAGAAGTAGTCAGATTTTTAAACTTAATCTTTTTTAGCAAAGTATTACCACAAACAGTGGTAAATTCCTCTCCAGGCTCCTGACTTAATCTTCTCTGGATTGCAATGTATAAGCCCTCCTTTGTTGGCTGCAGTATTTCAACCCCTGCTGATGTGTCAAAAACTGTGAACGTTAGGCAAAACACAAATATGCTGCATTGTATCCCATTTTTTCCTTTTTTCTCTTTTCTAGAAGATGACAACAGATACGATAGAGAGCAACAACACCAAATCCAGTGCTCCCCTCCTGACCCAAAGATACCTGAGGATGGTGACCAAGGATGGACACAGCACATTCCAGATGGATGGTGCCCAAGGAAAAGGTCTGGCATACCTCCGAGATGCATGGGGAATATTAATGGACATGCGCTGGAGATGGATGATGCTTGTCTTTTCTGCTTCTTTTGTCATTCACTGGCTAGTCTTTGCAGTGCTTTGGTATTTACTGGCTGAGATGAATGGGGACTTGGAGCTGGACCATGATGCTCCACCTGACAACCACACTATATGTGTTAAGTACATCACCAGTTTTACAGCTGCTTTCTCCTTCTCACTGGAGACGCAACTCACAATTGGTTACGGCACTATGTTCCCAAGCGGGGACTGTCCCAGTGCTATCGCACTGCTTGCAATACAGATGGTCCTGGGGCTCATGCTGGAAGCCTTCATCACAGGTAATCCTTCATATTTAATCTTTAAATAGAATAGGTGTAGCAATTAGACTTAAGAAATGGAGCTAGAAATAAATAGTGATCATATTGGTATCTGAAAGAACAATTAAGTCACTCACTACAAGGATGAGGAGACTTCAGCTATGTAGAAGTTAAACACCTTTCATTAGCAAAGACATAAAAAGGTGATATCAACATTTGGACTTGAGAGTTCTGCTATTCATTGGACAATACTTGTGGTAGATCCCCATTTATCAGCCTCAACCACTTATTTCTTATACCATTACCTCTCCAAGTTTTTTCCATGGAATTACAATTTTTAAAGTAAATTTGTTTTTATTTTAAGGTTTACTTTTGTCTAGCTGAAGTATTTTTGTTGATCTTTTACTCAGTGTTTAACTATTCCTCAGTACCAGATTTAATGAAAATTTTTTACAGTGTCACAGCTATTTTGAGGTTTTTTTAAATTATTTAAAATAATTTTCAGACTTAAAGTATGTCAAAAGACTTTAAAAATACACAGGTTAGTTTACTGTGTGCTCAGAAAGAGTTTCTCCAGTGGTAGCGCACCAAGATCAGGTACTATTACCAATTACAGTAAATTGGGGCAAGCTAACGGCTCTCCTTCCTACAGCTACAGTTCACAATCCAATCATTAAGTGGACATAGAAGCAGCAGCTTTTAGGAAAGCTTTGTTTTTAAACAAAATTGGGTTAGCATGATACCAGTCCAGCAGTTTTCAAACACACAGGCTGAGGCCAGAAAGACCGCATCCACCCAAGCCTGCTTCTGTTCCTTTGGACTGTTTCACAGAGCTTGGAGGCTGCAGGGAACAAACCCAGCATGGTGCTCATATTCAGTTTGTTCTTTTCCGTGATGCAGGTGCTTTTGTGGCAAAGATCGCCCGACCAAAGAATCGGGCATTCTCCATCCGCTTCACCCGCTCTGCCGTAGTGACACACACCGAGGGGAAGCCGTACCTTATGTTCCAGGTGGCCAACACACGCCCCAGCCCACTGACCAGCGTCCAGATCTCTGCTATACTTTACCAAGAACAAGAAAACGGGCAGCTGCACCAAACTAGTGTTGACTTCCACCTAGACAGCATTGCTTCAGATGAGTGTCCTTTTTTCATCTTTCCACTGACCTACTACCACTCAATCACTCCATCCAGCCCCCTGGCTGCTCTCCTCCAAAGAGAGACTGCTCACCATTTTGAGCTGGTCGTCTTTCTGTCAGCTGTGCAGGAGGGCACAGGAGAAACGTGTCAAAGGAGAACATCCTACCTCCCCTCAGAGATCATGCTGTACCATCGCTTTGCCTCCATGCTAGCCCGCAACACCAAAGGTGAATATCAGATCAAGATGGAGAATTTTGACAAGACTATTCCTGAGCTCCCAGCTGCAGCTGACTCAAAGAGTCCAAAAAGGACTGACAAGGAGATCCGCATCAACGGACAGCACACCGACAGCTTCCAGCTCTCCGTAACTGGCCTCACAGAATAGAGAGAACAGACTTTGAACTTTGTGCTTTTTTACTTATTATTACATTAAACTTTCAGGTTCCATTTACAACCTTCCTTCCTTGCTGCCCTGCCGTCTTCTAGTGATCTGTCTCTTGTACTCCAATCCTTTTGATTACAACATGATACACAGAGTAAAAAGAACTGGTGTGCCCATGTAAGCTAAGGAGAGGCTGGATTAACCACCCAGAACAGAGTCAGGTACAAGAATCACAGTACTAATTCTTGGAAATTAATAGAGCTACCTGCTGAATTCACCAGACTATGATTAAAGCCGCACTGACCATGAAAGAAGAGACCTTCAAAACTCCCAAAGCTGACCAAAATCATAATTAACCAGCTTGTGACAAAATGGACAATACAAAAGAAAAACCTCAGTCAAAACCAATATGAGGTCACTCAGTAAATGTATTAGTTCTGGGATAAACAACTCTGTTCATCCAAGATCCTAATTTTTCTGTTCTCTTAACTCTTTGGGGATACAGAGTTCTATCAGTTTTCAGATGGCTGAATTCACTCTTAGAAAGTACTGCCAATCTCTCATGGCAGTGAAAAACACTCCTGCTGTGCTTATTAAGCAAAATTGTAAATACTAACTGTAGTTCTTCATTCTGCCAAATAAGAGAACATCTCATTTCAAGACACTATCAGAAAAATCTTGATGTACATGACAAATGATGCAGTGGAAATCTTTCATATTTGGAAAGACCAAATAAATTATTTAGCAGTGGAAAACAGATTATTCTAAACGAAATAAGATACTTTTTTTTTTTTAAAGGACCATACATTCCACATGTTCTCACCTTTACGCTGCTTGTCTCAAGTAGATCTGACCCAGAAGGATGCACTATATACACGAGAAGTAGAACTGCATCCATTTATATTTTATTCTTTTTAACATCAATATTTGCCTGTACACACAGCACAAAAATATTTAGAGACATTTGAATCAATTTTAAAATAAAAAATTAAAACAAACTATACATGAGACTTCTGTATTTGAGTGCCTCATAAACTTACTGCAATTAAGACACTGTTCTGAATCTCCTAAATAATTTAAGAAGCTACAGGATAAACAGAAGGATGGATAATTATTTCCAAGCTCTCAACAAAAGCAGTGCCTATTATGTGTTCATACTTGAACAGTCAAGTATCAAAATAAAGTAAAAGTTATCTTTCAAAGGTAACTTTCTTTTTCCCAGAAACAAAGATGTCATAAATAGCAACTTTCGTTGACTACAGCATAGTACACTACCAAAAAATGCTGCCTTTTAACTTCACTGAAGTGTTCAGCAGCAGGAAAAATAGTCTCAAGCTATCTGATGAGATACTGTTTAACTGAATTTTTCTCAAGCCCCAACTCTGTTAACGGAGGTGTGTTCACAACCCAAGAGTGGTTAGCAAAAAGCTACTTCGTGTTAGGGTCTGGGGAAATGGGAATAGCCCCATAGAAGCATTTCACACAGGCAAGAGGAACGAGACAGACTGCCTACATTTTCATTGCAATTCAGCTCTCCTTCCAAAATTGTTGAAGTATTGCCTCCCCACAGACCTTGGATAGATTTGGTTTTATCACAGATACTCTCAAAATCTCTGTTTTAAAATTTAATTTTATGTAAAAGCATTCATGAATATTGTGGAGCTTAGAGAGCAACACACTATCAAGTTACATTGCCTTCATCCCTACTTTTCTCAGCTGCTGACCCATATACAATCTAAAGATCCCTTTTCCACCTTTATATCAGTACCAATCATTTTTAAGTATTGCTTGCAAGTGTTATTTCCATGTTCTCTACCAACATAAGAAATTGAGAACAGTCCTACAAATTAAGAACCAGTGCAAGAGCAGTAGAACAGATTCCTGTGTCAAGTCTGAAATATCCATTTAGGAAAAAAGAGTGGTATGCTGTGTGAGGTATTGTTCTTCCCATATATATCACATACTTCAGTCTCAGACAAACCAATTGTTCTAAAATTCAGATGCATAGTCCCAACAGGACAGCACTATAATCTCACCATTACAGCCAAAGCTATAAAAAGGTATTTCTAATTTCAAGTAACATCTAATCAAAGTGTGGGCTGCTTCATTTGGTTTCTAAATGACTTGATACTTTTAAATTTGTCCTTTTTTGTAAATAATTTTCTATTTATAGATTCGGTTTAAAAGGGGGCACAACAGCAAGTATAAAGAAAAAATATGTTTAGTACACACTAAATGCAATCTTCAAATATTATTTTAGAATGTAAAGCTGAAGACTACTACCAGAGCAAATTAGACAAACACAACTGTGTAGTTACTTCAGAACAGCTGCAGAACAAGGGGTAGACAAAACACCCATATTGCTTTTACAGTTCCAGAGAACTGGTGAACTATGGACATCTGATAAAGTATTGGAAATATGCCATGGCCCAAATTGGAATACAAGGCTAGAAATTTGCTGATGGGCCCTGATGCAACAAAATCGCACTCTACACTTTGGAACATTGCAAGAGCAAGCTGGTGATGCACTTCTTGATAGGGAGGTAGGGAAGAAAAACAAGCCAGGCAGAGTAGGGAGAGTGCAATTCAAAGAAATTCAACATCCTTTTTATAGCCACTTGAATACCCTTTTTATATTCAAGTTTTCTTAACCTAACCAAAAAATACATGTTAAACAGAACTCAGTCAGGTTCCACAACTGACTTACTAAATGTCTTGTTTAATCTACATTACAATTATTTACTACCAGTGTATAATTGCTGGTAACTAGTCAAATCCCCTCAGCTACTAAGCTGGTATTGGTCAAGAGGCTGCAGAGAAAATTAAGCAGCTTTTGTGCAGTTCTAAAAGACAGCCATGATCAAGAAAACAACTTGCTCATTTTCTTTGCTAATGGCCTCAGCTTTCCAGAAGCGATTTGGGTTCTCAATGAAGTCTGTCAGAACTGTGACAATCTGCAACACAAACTCACAAATACTTTGTGCATCTTCAATTTGCATACTGAAACTGGGAAGAGATATTGTTTATGTTGAGAATCAGTCAAATGTGAACTTGCAAACTGTTGTGAGCACTGAAAAAGCAATCATTAATTTTTAAGAACAGCATATTGATCATATTTGAGAAGTAATTCTTTGTTGAAGGGCTACTACTTTTTTTAATCTCATGATACTAAATTGAAGGGTTCTTACATTGTCATCCATTGTGAATGTCCACAAGAGTTTAATATTTGACCTCTTATTAATTCTGTAATGTCATCACCCAGAACAAAGAATACGAAAAAGCTGGCAACTGAGTAAATTACGTAATTTGAGGCTAATCCAAGGCCCTATGAAAGAGCAATGAAAAACTGAAGCACAATAAAGTTAGAGGTTAAAATCCTAAAATAAAGAGTTTAACTAGGGTAACATAAGCCAATACACTCATCTGCTAAAGCACGTTAGCCTGAATTATAAACTGCATGTCACTTCACTCCCTGATTTTTCTGCTTCCACTGCTTTGTGTGGTATACAAGTGCTTGGTATTAACCTGAGACTTCTTTTGGCACATCTGTATCCTTATCTCACACTCAAACTATTTTGTCATTGGAAACTCTTTACTTAACAGTAACTATTTGTTCATTAATCAAGGCTTGAGTCAAAACAGACCAACACCTTCTGTTAACATTTTTGTGCTCCCCACCTTATTTCTCTTTGAAGGTAAAAAGGAGAGAAATGGTTCTCTCGCTTATTGGAACATTAATCTCGAACACAGAGATATGCAAACATAAATTACTATTGTTAAAACATTTTTTTTAAAAAAAATATTAAAACTTCAGAAAGATTGCAGGTCTCTTGCCTCTACCATACTGTGCTACAGAGTTTTTAGCCAAATAAGATCAAACTAGAAGAGAAGCAGAACAAGAGACTTAAGAGGAGCGATCAGGTACCACAGAAAGCTTCATGATTTGAGAATAAGCACACCACCCCTCACAATAAACCAGGACTTCCAAAAAAGCACACGGGGACACCATCTTCTCTAGAAAATGCTTCACAGATGTATTCCAAAGTCCTAATCGCTAGTAGCTGCTACCAACAGGACATGCTCCATACTAGCTGAAGCATTAACCTCCATGTTCAGACAGAAGTCAGCTCCAGTAAGGACATCTTGCATACTGTAAGTTCTTCTCAATTTCAACTGAGAGATACATCTCATCCTAAACTGACATGAAATATTTTTATCACAGTCTTCATGAAACATGTAGTACATTCTACAGTCTGGATCTGGAAGTGGTGTAATTTTATCACAGAATGGGAAGGGGCTAAATAAAATGGAATTGACTGTGGTAGTTATTACTTTTATATCCATTTGTCTTTTGTAAAAAAATGCAGTCCTGAAATCTCAGTAGCACTTATTTTTTCCTATTTTCACTTTTTTCCAAAAGGCCTCTGAATAAAGATGCACTGAAAGTCTGAAGTTTCACTACTGGCATTTAAAGATGGACAATCTCTGACCAATCTCAAGTTATTTTTAGAAGTAACCTCTTTTTAAGGAAAACAAGCAACATCTTAGTTTCGTGTTAACTTTCAACTTAAAAACCAGAAAAATAAAAGCACTCTTTAAAATACATGAAAATCAGTTCCTACATGGAGGGAGGATTGGGAGGGCTTTGAGAGCAAACATGGCAATTTAAGACTCCTAAGGCATATGCCACCATGGTAATCTGGAAGATTATAACAATGGCAATTACACTACTTTCACTAAAAAAAAAAAAAAATATCGACAGCTAAGCAGGGCTTCAAATACATTCCTGTCAACTTTAAATCACAACTGAATCTCTTTGGTTTTGTTTGTTTTGAAATTCAACATGCAACTGTCTTTTCTGACCTCTGCTTTATCAGTAGGTTCTTTCAAAGACCAAAAGATTCTCTGGGTCCTAAAAATACAAGACTCATTGTCAGCAAACTTTTACTAGTATAAACTCCTCACTAAGCACCGCTGTGGTACACACATGTAGAAATATGCCA